TCTACTGATTGGGGACACTTAATATAATAATTATTAATCAAAACTATAACAAAATTCTCGAACATGATTGGCTATCAGCAGCCTGATTTGAGCATTAATTGGACAGTGTACGCGTCATGCTTGTAATTGGACAATACATGTCATTTTGTGCGCGCTGTTGCGGTGCACTTTGTTGAGTAAACTGCTGTGTTTTTCAGCATTCATAATGATGTTTAATCGTTCAGCAATCAATCGATGGTTTGTTCGTTTCTCGCATTTTGTCGTAGCTTTTGAATAAATGGTAACAGGACATCGTGTCGTCCAATTCAGTCTGTAATCATGCTCGTGATTACCAAATCGGACTCGCGCTTTGCGGTCGTCCAATTTTGTTAATCGCTCGTATGATTACAGACTGAATTGGACTCCTCAGTCCTACTACCATTATTAGTAACCTACTAACTATTTTCTAATGAAGTATTAAAAAGCCTAACAATGTAATTAACAATATAATATAGTTAAAAAACCAGCAAACTGTTTTCTAATAACAATCAACTAATGAGATAAATTATTAAAAAGAATTAAGCGTTACAAAAGATGCAGTTGGAACAATTGCCATCTTCTACCATTACACTTAAAATCAAATTTACAGATACGATTTTTAAAACTAGTGATGGGAGGGTTTTAATTTCACTTGGTAACTTATTTCACAACTAATAATCAACAAGGCCGCTTTATCTCCAACATATGTAAAGCCAAAGTGTAATAAAAATAGCTGATGTTATAAATATTGTTTCTAAATAATAATTTCAGGCTTCAAAGAGACTTGGTCGCTTTATTTTAAAAGATGACAGTGACAGTGAAGAGAAAAAAAAGGTTTCGTCTGGAAGTCTATTTTTCAAGAAACTACAAAAGAAAGCTTCCCCGCCTCCCATGTCTACTGCAGCTGAAGTTAGAGCAGCATCGACAGCTACCACCTCATCAGATGACAGGAAGCCAAGTGTTGTCAGCAGTGTTCAAGACGTCAGACACCCAGTAGCTAAGGACGGACACTCGTTGAATAAAGACAGACACCCAGTGGCTAAAGACAGAGCAGAGAAAATTGGAGGAAGATCCTCTCCAAAACCAGATGAAAAACCTGTTCAGAGAAGAACTAGCGAGGTAAATTTTGTCAAGCAATCATATTTTCATGCAAAATTATTGTATCATCACGCAGGTTTTACAGGTAACAATCTTTAAAACGACAAAGATTGAACTACAGTGTGCAACTGACTCTTCAGCATAACGCAGTCACGTTAGAGATTGTTACAGTCTCATTTTATGAAATATCTTTTCAGAATTTCTTAGTTAAAAGGCATGCGAATTCTTTTTTCTTTACTGTCGTTCAGAGCGCAAAACGGAAATACGAAGATTCACCAAAGGAAAACAAGAACAGCAAATCGCCACCTCCAGCAAAAAAGAAACGGGGTAAGACTTCCCTAGAGATAAGAACTTATTCAAATTTGGATGAAGCAGAACAAAGGAAAGGATAGTGCTGCATTCCCTCAAAACATAACCTCTAAAAGATTGAAAGTCTATCATTGCTTCAGTTGACTGTTCACTGGAGGAAGGAGAATGGCGCGCGCGAGAATTTGTTCACACACCGTCCGACCGTCCACCTTTTAACAGTTCTATTTTGTGCGTGGCCAACGAGGGGCCTGGGCCAAGCATGTAGCGACCAATCATTCTTCTCTTAACTTTTCAATACAAGAAGACAAGAGATGAAATGAGAGATCTGATCATTTAAGGGCAAGCGTCTTAACTCAATGTCAATTCTCCTAGGATGGACGTGGATTTGGATTCTCATTCAGTTTATAAGAGAGCCGGTCCCTTTTGTGGGTTTGAGAACGCTGTTTTGAGTCTGCAATATATATGTTTTATTAAGATCAATACGTTTTACCATAAAATTCTAATAATGAGACTTGCGCTTGTTTTTGTTTTGAGAGTCTAATAATCAGTTTTGGTTTCATGAAGTGACTAGACGAATTGTGGAGGTTTTGCTCTCAGTCGAGTTTGCGCCCGCATTTTCAAGTTTGCAGCGAGATTGAGTTCACCTCCAGCATTCAGTCTTGTATATGCCTCCTGCTAAACAAGTTCGAGGTCTTTACTGTAAGTTACGGACCGATTTTTTCCCCTTCGATTTATGGCACAAGCGCCCGTAATGATTTCTATTCACGCGGACTTCAAATTTCTGACGCACTGAAAAAAGCAAAACGAGTCAATTTGAAATCGTTGTTAAGTCGTTAGCACGTTGTAATACAAAATTTAAAGTGAAAGAAAGTTTTAAACTTTTACTTGTTATAAAAGTTAAGAACACTTGGCGGTAAATCACGAAACATTTTGGCAACAAAAACAGCTTTAAATTTTAGCGGGCCGTACAGTAGAATACGGACCGCTAAATTGACCGATCAGAGCGCGCGTAGTAACTGAGAGATGTAAACACTGTTTTCACTCTCAACAGTAAAACCAAAGGTAGTCGGGGAAAGTCCAATTTTCTGGGATACTTCAGGCTGACATCAAGAGTATGCACCCAACTCGGTCGACCTCTCAAAAAAGTGAGGTGCGAACTCGGATGGTGCTAACTTAATTGGGGGCGAATCCTCCTGCTAGAATTGGTACAGCTGGTCTAATGGGATACTAGTTCATGACAAGGTATTCTTCAGCATTTTGCCACGTTGCTCATACAGTTTGCCAGCAATCAGTATCCTCCTGTGCGGAAATGGGCTCTGTGGTACGGCTAGTACCATGTAAAACAACACGGCTCAAAGCTGGAGTTCTTGATAAGGCGTGAAATGAGTTAAA